CTCTCTCCCTCTCTCCCTCTCTCCCTCTCTCCCTCTCTCCCTCTCTCTGTGTCGCAGAATCATTTTTGCTAATATTGCTAATTTAAAAGAATCTTCCTTCTGAACATCAGGCTCTGAAAGTTGTTTTTACTTAGCATTCATTATTTTGGCAGCTGGTTTAAGAAGCACATGTTTTCTGTAAGAAAAAAAGGAAGCAGCAGCCTTGAGTTTTGCTTATAAACGTAGGTGAAGGGATGTGTAATGTTACAGTCAACCTTAGCAGCTACTTTGTCCTAAGTCACTGTAACACATTGTAGGTGTTCTGGGTATAGCATCTAAATGGCCGAGACAGTTGTCGCTACCCCCTCACAGTGTCGTTATATCTTCAATGTAACTTGACTAGGAGGAAACACACGGCAGGACTAGGAACCTTCGGGGCTCAGAACTACGCCTTAAAAGTCACAGCCTGTGTTCTGTATTTCACCGAGACACCCTCGCCCACCCACGCTATACAGTTTTGTTTTTCACCACTGAGAACGGAACCCCGTACCTTCACACTGAACTACAACCCTAGCCCCTTGCCTTTTTCTCTCCTCATGGACGGGAATTTTTTCTCTCCCCACCCACCATGAGAGAAATTGGAGAGAGTGCGCGCGCGCACAGGTCCACGTGTGCCTGCGTGCGTGCTGAGTCCAGCGCGCTCCTGGCCAGAGACACGCGCATGCGCCTTGCGGCTTGTCCCAGGCAGGGGTGACCCGCGCAGGCGTGTGACGCTGGTGCGTGGGAGAGTGCAGGGAGACCGCAGCGCTGACTTGCCGGGCTGATCCCCCTAATGGCGCTGCACGTGTGTGAATGGAGTCCCCGGGACCCTGGGGCGAGCGTCGGGGTGACACACCCCGCCTTTAGCAGGGCTGCGCCCGAGATCCTTGCGTGGGCCGCGCGGCGCCGCAGGTCGCAGAGCGCACGGGTGGCGCATGGGTCCCCATGAGCACTGACGCACAGGTGGGCGCTACAACTGCGCCACGGGTGTGCAAGCACCATCAGGACCTGCGGCCCCAGGCAGCCCAGAGCTCGCGTGGCCTGACAGGTGGGCGTGTGCCGGGAGGGCAGCACCCTCGGGGACGCGGACAGGTGTCACACGGGTGTGGTGTAATCCACGAAGTTATGTGCGTAGTGAGGCAGTGGCCGGCGTGGATTTGTGCTTGGTGACCGGATAGTTGGCCGGATGGCTTTTTAGACGGGGCGCAGGTGTGTGACCGTGAACCCTTAGTTCATGTCCCTGAGGCTTTGTCTGTCTGCCTTCCAACCAAGTGCCTGCACGGGATCCGCGGTGGTCCCCAGGGACCTGAGCTGAGTCGCGCCCTGGAGATGACCGACAAGGACAGTGACACGGTCCCGAATGTGTCACAGCAGGAGTGTCCTCCCTGCAGGCTGCGGGAGTGACAGGCAGGCACCCCAAAAGAACTCCTTTTGTAGGGAAAAGGAGTTCCCTACAAAAGGAAAGACCCTCCTATCGGAGGTGGGGAGTGAACAGGAGTCCTAGATCGCAAGCCTGGTTAGGGGATCTGTCAAAACTCTGAGATCCCAAGGCCCTGTGATGTCCACCTGGCTTTGTCTGACCTGTGGACAGCGTTTCCGGCTGTGTGTCTGACTGTAGCCGGCGCTCCGGAAGCGTCCAGGTGTCTCATTCTCACCCTCCTTCTCCCAGGCCAGCTGAAGGGAAAGCACCCTGAGGAGGAAGACCCGTTATACATCCTAAAGTTAAAGCTCCGGTAAGCTTGCATTTTCTTTCTTGTTTTTTTTTTCTCTTTTTCTTTGTTGTTGTCGTTAGGTGATTTCTTCTCAGAGACCATAGTAAGAGAATTAAGCCACCAGCCCGTCAGTCTTGTTTCTGCCTCTCTCCCCTTCTGAGCTTCCTGAAAGCAGCAGCCTCTGGGAGCGTGCGTCCTCAGGAAATGCTAACGACAGCTGTGAGGTGCATCAAGAACAACTTACGAGCTCAGGGGGCCGAGAGGCTCAGGCAGGCAAGCAGAGCCAGCATGGTCCAGAACATCCCTAACCTGACCTCTTGCCTTTTGTTTTTTTTGTGGTTTTTTTTTTGGGGGGGGGGGGTTCCTCCAGTACCGGGAACCGAACTCACGACCTTGCGCTTGCCAGGCAGGCGCTTTTGCCACTGAGCTAAATTCCCAGCCCCTACCTCTTGCCTTTTGAATCCACCATAATTTTCCGTTTCATTTGTTTGGTTTTGGTTTTGGTGGTTCTGGAAATTGAACTGAGGACTTCTGCACTGAGCTACATCCGCAGCCCTTTTTATATTCGTTACATTTTTGAGACAGGGTCTCACTAAGATGTCCTCAGCTTTGGAGGCCTCTGGCATCAGTCTCCCAAAGAGCTGGGACTGTAGGTGTGCAGCACCACAACCAGCAGATGTATATTTTTTCCCTACAGTGCTGGGGATCAAAGCCAGGCTTCATGCCTTTCCCAGCTGTGAGACTCGGCTGGCATTGCCCCGCTCCTGACTTTCTCTTAGCATCAAAGCAGCAAAGACAAGTCCAGGTCTTCCCACTGCCTCATGCTGGTCCCGCCTCTGCCATTCAGCTTTCTCTTCTGAAATATCCACCCTCCACCCCCAACACCCATATTTTAGGACCTTGTGGATCCCTTGGGCCCAGTAGGGTCATTCATGATCATCCTCCCTCTATTAAACTGCAGAGCCTAGCTGGGCATGGTGGGACACGCCTGTAATCCCAGCACTCGGGAGGCTGAGGCAGGAGGATCGTTGTGAGTTTGAGACCAGCCTGGGTCACAAAGTGAGCTCAAGGCCAGCGTGAACTACATAGCGAGACCCTGCCTCAAAAAGACAAAAAAAATTTTAAAGTACAGAGCCTAGCAATTTTAAGTTTCTCTGCAACTTCAAGTCCCCCTGGCCATTAAGGTAACATTCACAAGTGCAGGAATCACCCTGCGGGCATCTCTGAGAGACGGTGCTCCTGCCTACCCAGGCCTCTCCATCCGGTTTCAGCAATGACCACAGCATCACTGCTCACCCCTGGTGTGGGCCATTTTCTAGGCAAGAACCACTGAGCTTCAGCTCCAGCCCCCTTTTTATTTTTTGTTAGCTTATTGGTATGTTATAGTTCCTGTTATATTTCTTTTCTTTTCTTTTCTTTTCTTTTTTTTCCAATACTAGAGATTGAACCCAGGGTCTTGGCACTGAACTACATCTCCGGCCCTTTCCTATTTTTACTTTGAGACAGGGTCTCTCTAGGCTGAGCGCAAACTTGCCGTCTTCCTTCCTCAGCCTCCCAGAGTGCTGGGGTCACAGGCGTGCACCACCGCCCAGGTTTACATTCACAATTCTTATAATTGGATTAAGGCAGGCCAGTTGGAAAGAAAAAAAGAATCCAGTCCTCTGCATACCCCACGAAAAGAAACTCAAGACCCTCCCCCCGCCAAGCACGGACCTGACTTTGTTTCTGCAGCACTGGACCCTGATAATTAATCATGTAAAGGACCGAAGGCGTCTGCAAACCTCACTGTAAAGGAGCCCAAGGGCCGGAGATGGAGCTCAGCGTGAAGAGCAGGTGCCTGGCATACCCAGGCGCCGGGCTCCTTCCCCAGCTCCACAGTGAAGGAATACATTAAATACATACATGAAGGGCAATGGATGTGCGCTTTCCTAATCTCGAGCCGACTCAGTCTCCCCGCGTGCTTGAGGTTCTGCTGCTTACACCTGAGACAGGCGGGCCTTGCGGTCTGCTGCTCCCCGCGGGGCGGGTGCGCGGGCACACGGCAGAGGCCGCAAAGGTCGCTCGGGCTTTGACGCTCCGTGTCCTCAAGGGGCTCAGCACCCGGGCGTGATGGGCTGTCCACATGCTTAACCGCACCTCCGGGCCGGCTGATCCTGGTCACGCCAAGCCCCCGCTGGAACCACTGGGCTGCTTTTCCAGCGGTCAGCGACACCTGAAACAGAGAGGTCTTCCCGCCAGGAATGACGTAGTCACCTCTCAGGGTCGCAGCGCAGAGCCGGGACCTTTTGGGCAAGGCCCAATTCTCCACTGCACCCCAACCTGCCCCCACTCGCCCCAGCAGGGGCGGGCTGGTCTTCTGCTCGTGCTGGCGTCTGCCTCCAGCACAAGATCATCGAGTGACTTAAAGGAAGGCGCCTCCGCTCGAGCTCCCGGCACGTAGGGGAGTGCTCTCCACAGTCCTCTCGGTTCTGCCCAGATGCGTCCTGTATGGACAGTCCGTGTGTGCGTGTGTGCTGGGAAGCAAGGGATGGAGCAGTGAGGTCACCTGAAGTCATTTGGGGTCCCACAGTGCAGCCGGCTTAATGTCCTTCCCACCCCAGCGCTGACCTCTCCGATTTTGTCTCCCTCAGAGCACACACCAAGATGATACATCCAATCTTGAGAGCGGAGGCCCCGGCTCACGTAAGTGCACGGCTCTTTCCTTCTTGAACTGGGGTGGGCTCGGGATTCCTGAAGCAGCCTTTCTGAGCAGGTCACCTTCCCAGGTGTCGCTGCTCCAGTGAGTGAGATCCCAGAAAGCGCTGTGTCTGCCTTCCAGCTGTTTCCTTGGTCACTGGACGGGTTATTCCGTCCCCCTGTGCGCTCGGTTGTTTGGTCCAGGGCAGTGACGGAGCAGTGGAGGAGCAGAGCCCCCTGGGGGAAGCACCCAGTCAGGGCCGTGATTTGGTGAGTTAGCTCCTCTGGTCCTGTGTGGCCAGAGAAGGCAGGCTCCACTGCTGCTCTTCTGCCGGCAGATAGGAGGGAGCGTCGGCATCCGCTGTAGGGAGGGGCTGTTCACATCTCAGTCTCACTGTGTGTGGCTTGTAGAACTGGACAAAGTCAAACGAGTACACCTGTGCTCCCAGCGCTCGGCAGGCTGAGGCAGGACAAGCGCCGTGAGTTCGAGGGCGGCCTCGGCTACATAGCAACACTCTGTCTTAAGAAAACCAAAAGCAGGGCTGGGGATTTAGCTCAGCGGCAAAGCACTTGCCTGGCAAGCCCAAGGTCGTGAGTTGGATTACTGGTACCGGAAGAAAAGACAAAAAAAAAACAAAAAAAGAAAGATGAAAAACTTAAAAATATGTGCCAGTCCTCCACAGGACCGTGAGCCATTCGACTCAGTTGTCCTCTCCCCACATCTGGCATGAGGGCTGGGGCAGTGGGGACAGCAGGAGCGGCCCGCAATGAGGCGCTCGGAGGTGGCCCTGGCGTCCCCCACGTTAGGGACAGCTCGGGTTTCTGCCCAGGCTCTGTGCAGGGCTGTTACAGACTAAGGGCGGCTCATCTGCCTGTGGGGTATCATTTCTTTCAATGCTTTAAGGAAGATTACGCCAAGCATGGTCCTGCCCGTTTGTACGGTGGTGCCTCGGTTCACACACGGAGTTCATCTGCGATTCCACATGCTCACGCGATGCAGAGTTCCCAGCGGAAGCAACATTCTGCTTCTGTTTGCAGACTGAATTGTTCACACACAAAAGCATTCGTGAACCGAGGACCACTGAAGCTCAGCTACTCTGGAAGCTGAGGCAAGTGCACGGCCAGCTTGGGCAACCTAATGAGACC